AATTAAAACCCAACAGTGAATGGCTGAGTAGGACATTTTTATAGAATATACTTAATTTTTTTAGTTTAAGCGATACAAATATACAATAATAATAAATTAATGTTTTACTTGTTTTATAAACCCATATACTTTTATGAAAACTAACATATATATATAATAATAATAATAATAGTTTATTATTTGCCAATAAAAGATGTACAAAAATACAAAATATAAAAAAACAAAAATACACTAAATATACTAATTAGGCAAATAAAAGGTCGAGTGATAGGTCATAAGACCAATTCTACCTCACTCGCCTTGAAAAAAATAAATAAGTAAAATAAAGAGTAAAAATACATATACATGCATATCTAGAAAAATTTAAAAATACAGTTAAAAGAATAATTAACTAGTGAAAGGAACCTTAATCTATATTAATAAATATTAAAAATCACAAAAAAAGACTTAAAATTTAAAATGACTGTTCGCGTAAAAAAATTTGTTTGTATTTATTTTTAAAAGCTGTTAATGAAAGACTGAAATTTGGTATATCAAGAAGATGACTGTTCAATGCAATTTGGTAGCTAAATGATTTTTTGAATATTTGTTTATTATGAGATGGAATGGTAATGGCATTCTTTTTCCTTAAATTAATATGATGGACGTCGGTCCGAAAACTTATCTTTTGATGTAAGTATGAGGGAATTTTGGTCTCAACTATTTTATAAAATAAACAGAGAGAATGAAGTTTCCGACGATTAAACATGTTCAGCCAATTCGCCTCTTTTAATTTATAAGAAATCCTCTCCCTTCTCCTTATGCCATAGATCATCCTTAAACAACTATTTTGTACTTTCTGAATTCGATTCTTATCAATTAATCGTAAAAAAGAACCATATACCATGTCGCAATGATTAAAGTGCGATAAAACAAGAGAATCAGTAAGCATTTGTTTAGTTGCAGTAGACAAATCTGTTCTATGTGGATAAATTAGTTTTAGGGAAGAGTAGGCTTTCCTAACCTTCTCGTTAATATGTTTATCAAACCTTAATTGAGAGTCAATAGTCAAACCAAGATTTTTATACGAGGAACTAATTTTTAAAATTTCATTCCCTAAGGTGATTTGTATTTGTGGCAAGATCAGCTGTCGGTTATTTTCACTGCAAAATACAATAACATAACATTTTGTTCAGTTGATATGCAATGAGTGTTTTTCAGATGCACTTACAAGAATAGAGAGATCGTCATTAATACGCCTGACCGACTCTTTAATTTTAGACAGTTCAAAAGAATAATAAATTTGTGTATCATCAGCATATAAATGGCTCTTACAATGATTTAGATGTGAATGTAGGAAGGATGTATATAAGGTGTACAGTAATGGACCAAGAATGCTGCCCTGAGGAACACCTTTTCTGACTAACAAACAATTAGAGAAAGTGTTGTTAAGAACCACCTGTTGAACGCGGTTTGTTAGATACGAAGTTATAATTTTGATCGACAAATGGCTGAGACGAATAAAATGCAAAATTGCTAATAGAAGTTTGTGGTTCAATGTGTCAAATGCACGTGAATAATCAATTAGTACTAATGTGCATACTTTATTTGCATCAAGTGAGCGCAATATGTCATCGGTAACATCGGCTAAAGCGGTTGAACACCCATATCCACTTCTAAATCCTGATTGGGTTTTGGGAAGAATATCGAATTTTTTTATATGCAAATTTAGTTGTTTTTCTAAGAGTTTTTCAAAAATTTTGGAAAGGACCGGGAGAATGCTTATACTTCTTAGTTGATTTAATTGTAGCGGTTGGGAGACTTTTTAATTACGAATTCAATTAAAAATTGTATTGTCAGTATAGGCAGAACTAGTCCATTAGTACAAAAGTGAATTGGAGCTGCTGTCGCGCAGGTCCCAAGATTAGAATGATACAGCTACGTGCTCGTCGCTGCGCGAAGGTGTGACGTCAGAGACAGAGGCGGGCCCATTTCTAGTTAATAATTTATTCACCCCACTCGCAGGTGTCCCTCAGGGCTCTGTCCTCGTCCCTCTCCTCTACCTCATCTACACCCACGACATTCCCCTCCCAAACCACCCTATATCCAAATGCCTCCTATACGCCAACGATACAGCTCTAATCTCGATAGCCACAAATTCAAACCAACTAAATAATCGAACCCAAAATCTGTTAAGCCAGTACTCTCACTTGTGTAGCAGATGGAGAGTCTCATTAAATCCACAGAAAACACAATTTATCGTTTTAAACATCAAATTCTAAAAGAGCCTCCCAGAACCCCCAACTCGTAAATGTAAATCTCCTGGGAGTCAGGCTCGCTCAACAGACTGAAGTTGACTATTTAGGGGTACGGTTTTCTCGTACACTTAATTGGTCCTTGGATGTCCAACGCACTCTTGATAAGATGCAAAAACGAGCCAGTCTCCTTGGGGCTTTGTGCGGATGAATGGGGCGTTGCAACACAAACACTCTTATTCGCACTTACAATTTCTTCATCCGACCCGTTGCCGAATATAGAGCTGTACTCTACGGCGTACTTCCCACACACCTGTCCCACAAATTCACCACACTCGAGAGACGTATTCTCAGACGTTGCCAATATCTCCCCTATCGGTCCCCCAGCGGAGAAGTTTTCGAAAACACCCCCATCCTTACACGTTTCCAAACCCCCAGGAAACAATACGTCTCTCGCATGCTGAAAGGCACCAACACACACTCTCAAGACACTCTACGAACCCCATGGCGCCCAAACCAACTCCCACTTTTTCGACAACCGAAAAGAAAAATGCCACAACCAAATCTGAAACTTCTCTCAGACTCCGAAGACCTCCCCCTCACCGCTGAACTATAGGATCTGCTGGAATTATCCCCCTAAGTCTTAGATAAACCCTTCCTAATCATATATTAGAAATTCACAATATATGTACAATATCGTGATTTAGGTTTTGTGGTTTTCCTAAATCATATTCCCCACCCTATACTTGGACTTGTCCATTTATAGGGTTGGAAATAGCAAAATTGGCGATATTCTTGGGGAACACAACCTGCCATACAGGTCTCATACGCGCACACGACACCATTAGGAAATAGCTAGCTAGGTTACTTTGTAATCAGGGTAGACCTCCATGAAAAGGAGGATAACTCATATAGCAGGGAAATAGGAAAATAAAATGTCCTAGAAAATGTAAAATACCTATGAAAAAATCGATAATAAACTAAAAAAAAAACTTCATTTACACTTTAGCCACTACGTTTGGCTTCGCCAGGTGGCCGTTGCTAGGCGACTTGCCACTGTGCGACCTTTGCCGCTGCCTTGCTGTGTACCTTTCTCATCTTGGGACTGCTCTACCTATAAAAACCCAAATAAAATGCCCGCTTAGTTGCAAACCCCAGCTGGCAGACGCTACGAGGTATAACGTGGGATGTTCATCTTAGTGAGAAGATATAAAGCCGTCGGTCCCGAGTCCATGGATATTGGGCTCGTTAAAGATCCTACCTCTGCTAGGAACATCAAAGGTTTCGGCTAAATTTCTGGTATCTAGGGGTAGCGTGCTCATTAGCGTCGATGTTTAAATCTTGTAGTTAGAAATAGGCTGAGGTTAAAAATTAAAAAAATAATAATAATAATAGTTCTTAATTAACGATTCCATTTTGATTTAAAAGAACAACCTTTACTACAGTACCTAATATAGATACAATTTGCTTTTTTGCAAATTTCAGTTTTAATAATTAACACTATTACAGTCATAACACACTATAAAAAATAAACAAATTTAATGCTCAAATACAAGAAAATTTCGAATTAATAAAAATTACTATCGGTGACAACAGACAACGCAACAAGGCCAACGTTGCCAACTGATGAACTGAAATTTAAAAAAAAATGATATAAACGGTTTTATAAAAATCCTTAAATAAATGTAGAGTATGATTACATATTGGTAGATATCAATTTTGCTACTTAAAAAAAATAAGTTTATTTAAAATAAAATATGCCATCTAGTAGTTATCCCGATTTATTAAAAATGCAAATTTTGTTTTATATTTGATAATAGTTTATCTAATGAAGGCTGTATATTTTTGAAAAAATAGGAATCATTGTTTTTTCTTCAAAACTATTTTTTTTTAGATATAATAAACTTTGAACTACAAGGCACATCCATTTTCATTCAAATATTTTACTCTAAGACTACAAAATTAAAAATCTATAATTAGTGAAAGACAAAATTAATTCCGATTTGAATTAAAAATTCCTAGGTCAAAATAAATAAAGTTTACAGATTAAGGGTGAGATTACAGAACGTCAGCAACTTTGCAAATCTGCAAATTTGCCGCCATATATATATATATATATATATATGTGACGGACTTACAGATGCAAGTATCAAGTTTTCGTATTCCAAAAAATATTTGCAAATTAGCAAAATTTATTGTGGTTTATTGCGAATTTGCAGATATTTTTTGGAATACGAAAACTTGATACTTGCATCTGTAAGTCCGCCATATTTGCAGATCTGCAAAGTTGCAGACGTTCTGTAATCTCACCCATAATCTGCAGTCCTACAGCAATAAACAAAATTTTAAAAATATTGTCACGTTAAAACATTTATTTATTTTGATTTATATTCAGTAAATACAGCTACTTTTTTTACAAGCAGTTTATTTGTAATCAAAACAACACTGATTTATATTTACTTTAACATATTATCTTTACTTGACAACATTATTTCTAAAACTAAATCGAACTGCAAAATAATTCACTTATATACAAAAATTTAACGGCCTAGAAATATCTAGTCTTGTTTAAAATAATCTAGGATACTCTTCCTCTACGCGTCAGCTCGCGGCAAAAAGAACCTTCCAGTAACTTCTCGAGGCGGGCAGCCAGAGCGGCAAACAGAGAAGCTACTAAACGGTGTAAATAAAGATCAGGGCTAGGGCTGAACTGGTTGAAAACTGCTAGCAAACAGAATATGATAGTAAAACTATTTATTTTTTTAGGTACTGACAGCTAATATCGGTACTTTGCTAGATCTATACGGAGTAGAAAGAGGCCTGGAACATTTTCGCAGCACATCAGCTTTAAACTTCGACCAATTCAAGTACTATCTCCAGAAAGAAGTATTTTCCTCACTGCCAAGTAAATTGCAAATCCAAGAAGTGCGTCTATTTGAGAACAAAATAGCAGAAGTGTGCTGGCTCATATGCAGGAAAAAATATTTACCTAGAGAGAACAAAACGTTCTCGGATAGTTCGATCTTTCAAATTTTTAGAGTGTTCTGCGTATTGGCCGAACTGACACCTGATCAGTACAACGAAAATGTCTATCAAGCTCTTTTACATCCGTCCGAAGTGTGCAACATTGCTCAAGCTCTTACAAGTTCACTAGGTTGCAATTTCGATGATGACGATTTCACAAGTCTCAGTATTTCTATGGGTAACTTTAGGCTAGCGCCTTTTATAGCAGTATTGGAATCTAGGTGAGTGTATATATTTAACCTCTATTAATTACCTAGTACGAATCATAGAACCATTAAATCAAAACGAAAATAAATCATCATTCTATTATTTTACTATTAATATTTAACTTACTAGCTGTTGTCTTCAGTTTTGCACGCGTAGAGTCGTGTTTTTTATATAAAAGAATGCATTTCTGCTCAAAAAAGAAGAGATTATATGATTTTTAGGGTTTATGATATGAATGTGATAGTATTATAGAGTTATACGGTAATCTAATACATAAGTATAGTAATCTAATTAAGTCTCTCGTGTACACACTGCCCGTGGGAAAAGCAGTCCTCCCTTGGAATGTTGAGGTGTCAGAACATCGAGATGTCGTTTTTATCAATTCAGTCATCATACTTTTCATGACAGAGCCTAAGAAGTTTCACTAATTTGTTTTTAATTATGAAACAAGTGTATTTATGCTCTGGCTGTATTTAAAATTTTCATGTTTCTAACTGCAAATAACAAGAACTTTCCTACCAATTTTCCTACAAATTTTCCTACAAATTTCCCACTTTTAAAGTTGAAATTTCTTAGCGAATGCTTACGTTATAAAATAAACCTATATTTCAAATTTTAGTTTCCTAGAATTACTAGTTTTGGCTGAGCTTTGATAGATCAGTCAGTTAGTCAAGCAGGGACAAACGATTTTATATATTTCGATTGTAATATAGTAGGTACACTATTCTAGGATGGAATAATTCTAAGAATAATTCAAATTTAAATGGAAATCGGGTAAAAATTTATCCACTTATGTCTTCGGTTGGCATTTCCCATAATATAGCCTCAAAAGCAGCTTTAAATCGATGCATGCATTGGATATCAGCACATTTTGTATCAAAAGGTCTTCTAGAAAGTATATCGTTTCTAAAATATGTTCATTTTAATACTGATATTTTAAGTACCGAAACGACCCAGGGTTATATAAAACAACTTTTTTTTAAAATGTATAAAATTAACTCTTTTTATATGCCAGATCCCCTTAAGCCGGGTTCATGGGAACTGACGTAACACTGTTATTCTTCTTGGGATTTATTCGTCTCGAATGAATTAATTTCCCTCTTTCTTCTGGTTTAAGCCACTTGGAAGGATCTCTACAATCATATTTGGCTAGACAATCTTTGGTTTGTTCCTTGATGATAATTGGATACGAGAGACCAAGTCATTATTGATGCGCTTTATTATAGTGTAGGGACCTTCCCAGTTCCGCTGACCTTCTGCGACCATTTTTTCTTCTTGGGTTATAGAGCCACATTGCATCACCTCTTTCGAATTTTGAATTATTTGTTTTGCAGTCTAACCTTGTCTTCATTCTGTCACTTGTGATTTTAAGATGTTTTCTTGCAAATTCCTGAATCTGATTGAGTCGATCCTGTAATTATTGGACAAATTTGGGAATTTTTATCCGCGCCAATTAAAATGTCGATGGGTAACCTTATTTCTCTGCCAGTGGTCAACATTGCTGCAGTATATCCTATTGATTCATGCACCGAACTGCGATATGCTAGCAGGAATATAGGTATCAGTTTATCCCAGTCATTTTGATTGTCACACACAAATATTGATAGATACTGACATATTGTTCTATTATATTGTTCTGGGATGAAAAGGAGATGTTCTTGTCTTCTTTGTACCTAGTCTAATCATTACGGCCGACCATAATTCGGACATAAAATTACTACCTTGGTCAGAGTGAACTTCTAGTAGGACCCCATGTCTTGAAATAACGTTCCCAATAAAGGCTTCGGCGACTGTTTCAGCTTCTTGATTAGGTAAGTCAGCTACTTCGGGCCATTTTGAAAAGTAATCCATCGCGATTATTAAAAATGTATTCCCAGAATCCGTTGTTGGCAACGGTCCAAGAATATCGACAGCTACTCTTTGAAAAGGCGTTCCAGAGAGATATTGGGCTATTTTGCCTCTACTTCTTGCCATCGGTCCTTTTTTCGATGTACATAAATCACAGCTTCTGCACCAATTTTCCACATCTCTTCTACAGTTTATCCAATTAAATCGTTCTCTTATTTTCTCTAAAGTTTTTCTTACTCCAAAAAGACCTCCAGTTAGACTATCATGAAGTTGCTTCAAAACTTCCTTCTTCGCTATACGAGGCACGATCAATTGGTAGACGACCGATGTTCCATCAGGACTCTCTCACTTGCGATGCAGTAGGTTATCGCGAAGACACAAAAAATCCCCCTGAGCACAATAGCTTTGTACATCTCTACCGAATTTAGACACTTTTTGTCGCTCTGGTCTTACTCCATTTCTTAACCAATGTCGAACCGGTCAACCAATGTCGAACCGGTCACTGTCTGACTTCTGGCTTTTTAGCAGCTCTTCTTGAGACAAAACTTCTGTTTTCTGTATTTTCATGACTGGATATTTCTTATTCTTCCAATCGAAGACAGTACCGACATTTAACCAGAGTCTTCTGGATAGCCTATTCACGTTTCCATGATTATGGCCTCTTCGGTGTAATATACGGAAATCGTATTGTTGCAATCTTTCGATTCTTCAGGTTTCTTAAATTTCATTATCCATTGTAGACTGCCGTGATCACTCCGGATAGTAAAATTCCTGCCGAAGAGGTACGTATGAAAATGTTCTAAAGCTTTGATAACTGCAAGAAGTTCCCTACGAGTGACGCAATAATTTCCCTCTGAATTTCCCAAGGTCTTACTGAAATATTTAATTACTTTCTCTTCGCCATCTTGTTCTTGAGATAGAACGGCTCCCAGTTCATGTTGCGAGGCATCGCAATCTAAGATGAATTCTCTCGAGGAGACGCCTAAATGGGCGCGATAATTAAAAAGCTGAAGAAGAAGCTCCGTAAAAGCTTGCTTGCAATCTGATGTTCAGTCAAACGGAATATTATTTTCTGTTAGGCGATGGAGGAGTTTAGTAATTTTTCCGAAATCTTTTAAAAATTTTCTTTAGTAAGTACATAATCCAAGGAAGCTTCGCAGTTTATCTTTGGGTCGAGGCCAGTATCTTATTGCTTGCGTTTTAGATTAATCCGTTTTTATTCCTTCTGCAGATACAACGTGACCAAGGTGCAACACCTTTTTTTGGAAAAAGAAACATTTTTTTAGGATTTAACTGTAGATTAGCGTTTCTTAATCTCGAGAAAACTTCGTTTAGGTGTGTAAGGTGGTTGTTAAAGTCAGTTCCTAGTACCATGACGTCGTCCAGATACAAGAGACACGTAGACCAGATTAAACCTCGGAGAACTAATTCCCTTAGTCTTTCGAAGGTAGCTGGTGCGTTGCAGAGGCCAAATGGAAGAACTGATAAAGACCATTTCCAGAAAATGCGGTTTTCTCTTTATCTTCTGGGTGAACATCTGTTTGCCAACACCCACTCTTTAGGTCTGGGTTGGTTCTGGTCGGGTATACTCTGTAAAATATCTAGAGCTTGTCCTCGTAAACTAAGTATTAAGGAAGTCGTCATTTCCGCGGTGGTCCACCCATAAGCATTGGCGGCTGCTTTAAATTGTCGCCTATACATTGGCCAGGATGTTTTCCCGTCAAAAGTAGGCGGTGTCAAAATCTTGGTAGGTACGTTTCTGTATTAATGCTTCTACTAGAATTTATCGGTAGCACATTTAGTATATTCTGTGATTCACTATTTATCATTGGGTTGGAATTTTGGCGGATTAAGTTTATCTCCTCCGTTAGCTTCGATATCTCTTGTCTGGTATAGCTTTTTACCTGTGTAATCTTTTCTCCTACTTTTTCTTCAATTTGGGTAATCTTTTCTTTGACCTGAGTAAGTTTTTCAGTAAAACTTTCGAGAAATTCCCTATCCTCTTGCCTTTCACGTTCTTTTATCTTTTTCTCCTCTTGTTTTTCCCTGTCTCTCTTGGCTTTCGCTTCTTGCTTTTTGCGAAACCTTCTTTCTTCATCCTCTTCTCTTTGTTGTTTTAAAAATTCTAGGATACTTGCTGCATCCATATCTTGGGTATTCTCGTCGTAATTGTGGGACCTTGTGTTAACCATAAACCCACCGCTGTCACCAGTTGAAACTACTCAGGGTTATATAAAACAACTTTATTTTCAATTGTATATAATTAACTCTTTTTATAATTGCAAACATCAACTTGACTGATCCCAACTTATATACCAGATCCCCTTAAGCCGGGTTCATGGACACTGGCATAACAGCACTGCAATATAATAATTATATAAAATATTTATGTAGTTTAAATAATATGTGTAGGTTTCATAATTTAGAAGAGAACCTAATTGAAAACGTCAGCAGAACTATTATGACATAACCCTAAGTCTATTTTCTTGACTTTGGAACATTCTATTATCCCGGTTTTTTAAATTGGAAATACGTTTTTTTTTCTCTTTAAAAGTATTAAATTAATTTTTATTTAGATGTTTAAATGGTGTAAAAGAAGATGTAGCCATAACCGAAGCAATAACAGACATATATCAAAAGATGGTTGAGGACGTCATCAAAAAAGGATTTCTTTCTAAAAAAGGCTACATATTTCCGACAATGAGGGAATATTGGTTCGTTCTTAGACCGTCGGAGCTAACATATTACAAAGGTAGAAACGAGAAGGATCGATGTGGATCCCTACCTATCGAACCAGGTTGTAAAGTGGAACCGAAAACTGGATACAAAATTCTTCTTCACACGTCTGAAAGGACTTTCGAACTAGGTACCACAGATCATATGAGCAGGTTGCAATGGATATCGGCTCTGCAGCTTGCTTCTGAACATTCAGGTAAACAAAATTAATTAACCATTTTGTATATTTATAAACGCTTAATGTGCATATAGGAAAACATCAGAGTTACCAACGACTTCAAGCAGCGAAAAGACGTCTCCAAAGACAAGGAAGAATTCAAGAAATGATAAGAGCCAAGTTTCAGTTGCAACAAGAAAGAAACGCTAGACAGGCAGCTGAAGGACATGCAAAAGAATTAGAAGTAGTGGTTAAAGAAGAAGCAAAGAAATTAACTGAATTAGAACAATTGAGAGTAAAATTGGAACGCTTGTTAGAGGAAGAAACGCAGGCCAAAAGAGATGAGGAAATAGTTAGAGGGTAAGCCAAAATTCTTGAATACGTCTAATTCGGATGAAATCTGAATATATTGGAATAACGATACATTATTCTTTGAAATTTTCTTATACATGCTCTACTAGAACTTCTTTTAAGTTCTAGTCTAAGTATTAAGTATTAAACTCAAATACTATTCTTTTAGACTGCAAGCTAGAGTTTTGGCAGAAGAATGGGAAAAACGTGAGGAATTAGAACGATTACAAGATGAACAAAGATTCCTTCTTCATGAAGAACGACAGAAAAGAAAAGAGTATGAAGAATTACAGACAGCAAAAGAACAACAACTAAAATGTAAGTTTTTAATTAACGAGAAAACCGAATTATTTTAATGTGCTGGTCCTCGTTATTGGTAGTTGTCAGGGCCACCCGTAAGGGCTACTGGCCTGTGTGCAAAAAAGAATTTTGGCGCCCCTTAAGGCATTTTGGATCATGTTTTTTATTTATTTTTTTAAGTTTAATGGGCTTTATTGCATCAATTGTGCTGGACCATCTTGTCTCACTTAGGGGCTTTAAACTTAACCCGGGGACATTTTTCCACATAACATCCCACCTTTTTTGTGAATGATGAAAAAAAATTATATAACTCTTGCACAAGATTAAAAAAGTTTATTGTAGCATCTGACACCTTAGGAGCGTCATTTACTGTTAAGTTTAAAGTATGAGCCGCACAAGGTACAAAAAGGGCTCTCGGATTCACATCAAGAATGCGTTTTTGAAAACCAACATGCTTTCCCTTCAAGTTTGCTTCATTATTATAACCTTGTCCCCTAATATTTTTTATATCTAAATTTAATTTTTTCAAAATTTCTGTCACAAATGTGTATATCCCTTCCCCTGTGGAGTCCAGTATTGGATTAAACGCAATAAAACTTTCCTTAACTTCAGCCTTTTTTGAAGTGGTGTTAAGGACAACATACCTCAGAACAAGACTAATTTGTTCAGTATGACTAGTGTCTGGTGTACAATCTAATATTATTGAAAAATATTTTGAACTGTGAACAATTTCTAAAATATTATTTCTTACTTTAGGCGACAATAATTCAATTATTTAATTCTGTATTTGCACGCCTGTCTCACCACTGAATCAAAAGAAGCAATCGTCTCAACAGCTTTTAGAAAATTTCCATTATCATGTTCGAAAAGTAATTTAGAAGAACCTTGAAATGCCAAGCATTGTGTAGATAAATACTTAATCGCAATATTTCTTTCCAACACGTCGCGCCAATATTTTTTTTCCGTTTCTAAAATCCGCAGGTAATGAGCATTAACAGTCGTAGATGTCTCCAACATTTTTTTAAATTTTACCCAAGTGTTCATATAACTGTTGTGTAAAATTGACGTTTCGTGTCTCTTCATTAGCAAAGACTAGTGTTACCAATCAGATACTCCATTTCTATTACAAAAAGTGTTAGGAGTTTTACAAAACAACTTACAACAAAAACAAAATACAGAATCTTTAGAAATAGAGTAAATAAGCCAAGTTCTTTCGACTTTTTCTTCATTTTCTAGACTTCTTACAAAGTATTTACACGAAAACTTTCTCTTATCTTTATTACTGGGAAAGCTAAAACTGATGTCTATTAAGGGCTGACCACGTTTAACCAATATTCTAGCTATCTCATTGGTGATTCTTTCGGGCCACAAACCGGGGTCGGACGGAATTATATCGACACTAGCCTCATTAAATCCTTCATCAAAAGTGTCACTTGCAGCAGGTATTTCGATAGCTGACATTACCGAACTTCTTATACACGCTGAATAACCTGAAGTGGATTATTCAAGTGCTGTAGATGAGGATGGTGTCATGGTTTCATCGGGCTCTGCATCAGTAGAAGCTGTTTTGCTGCTACAACCTCCGCCACTTGTTGCAGGACCTGATGTTACTGTGGTCGCCTCTGTTGAAATTTCAGATGGTCCACTCACGGTTACTGATATTACGGATTTAAAATCTTGAGATTCGGTCGCATCGATAGTCTCTGTGGAATTTTGATTGTTTTGCAAGAAGTGCTTTAAAGATCCAGTCATTTTTTCCCTTTCTTTTGTTCGCGAAACTTTGCACATGAAGGTCTCTTTCTTTTATCCTGAAAAAACCAATAAATAATTAGTACTCTTAGGAATTAGGAATTAACTTCTAAAGTAAGCACAATAATAAGCACTAGGTTTGCATATTTGAGTAAAAAGCAATTTGTTCGAGCCCTTTCAGCATAAACCCTTTCAAAAATAAAGGCAGAAAAAATATTAAACTAATTTGATCTTATAGTCCTTAAAAAATCATACAAAATGTTTTTTTATAAAGATCGATAGCATAAAAACTAAGCAAGTTATGGATAAAAAATCAATTACTTTTTTTAATTCGTACATGACATTTTAATTAATAAAAAGATATTTGGGTAAAAATAAAATTAAATATAACCAGTATCCTATGAAGGGTTCACGTTGATAGTATAAAGTAGGGAACACTTACCATTTTATAAAAAAGCAAACCGTTGAAATTGCAGTCAGCAGGTTTTCGACGCTTAATTTTTTAGAAAAAAAAGTAGTAAACAAAATATTATACAACACATAACTTGACAAAATAAAACTAACTTTAAATGTAAAAATTAATAGGATTACTTGTTTTTATGCACTTGTTGCACGGTCCAGTGAACTAACCGATTTAAAAACCCCTCTGGCGATGCATCGCTTTTATATTGCTCCAGGTATTATTCATGTCTGAATAGAAAAAATCAAGAAACTACCGCCTGACATGTTCTCGCAACATAGGAATCGGCAGTAACTGGATGATATACTAATAAAATTTCGTGTGTATTTATACCTAATCCTATTTAATTTCTCAACTTTTATTTTAAAATTAATTTTTATTTTTTGTTTTCTTTGCAATTTTTTTTTGGACCCTGGTTGTTGTTACCTTAGATAACAGAGATCATAGATGTAACATAAACCAGTGTTTAAGCGGCGTGTTGTTGCCAGTCTCTGAAGATGGGTTAGCTTAGTGGAGGAACTGGAAGAAAACCAGAACTCTGTGTCATAGACGGACTTGTAGCATCATCGTAATAAACTATTGTGCCTTCTCTAGATTCAAGCGGTGAAGTCGTGGCGAGAATTATTTCTGAGACTGGCAATACACGTCACGGAGCCGAACGCTGTCAATACACTCACATTGTTCACGATACTCCAGTATTGCCAGGTAAACATTTTCTAAAATAGTAGGTTAATGAATGAAAAACAAAAACAGTAGATTTTTATTAAATTAAAATAAACATAGGTAAATATTCTATGAATATAAGTAAATATTCGTAAAAAAAACAATAAATAAAAGAGAAATAAATTAAATATTCTTGAAAAACAAGCGAGCTATACAGAGTTGGAGAACGATCAAATAATAAAAGAAATAATCTCAGAAGTAATAATTGATAGTTTCATATTCTCTAATACAGTATTTCCCAAAGTGTGCTCCGCGGAGCCCTGGGGCTCCGCGAAAATAACAGTCAGAAAAAATACTAAAGAAGTGCTAAGAGGAAGTTCCTCACAAAAGGGAGGACAGCTAGTTTGAGGACTTTTTTTTTAGATTTCATTATTTCACTAAGAAATAATCTGAATTTGCTTGTGGACCTTTTTTTTAGAAATGCTCAAAACCTATCTCAACCAAAAAAATTCATTTTAGAGCTTCGTCACATATTTCGCTTTTCAAAAGAATTCCATCGCCAAAAAAGTTTGAGAAACACTGCTCTAATAGTTTCATATTCTCTAATAGTTTTATATTCTGTAATAGTTTCATATTTTACAGCTGCAGAACAACGTTTGTACCAACTAGAAAGAGAACGTCATGATCTAGATAAGCAATTAAAAATCGCAAATGAGAAAATGAAATCTGCCGAAGATAAAAAAGAAATTTTGGAAGCTAAACTTTACCAAGTTGCTCCTCTTTGGAGAGAGGGAGAGAGAGTGAGGAGAGCTCATTCATTCATGCCTAGTACTAAAGAGAGACCTGTAATTTTAGAAGTAAGATCTGCCACATTGAAAAGACCATTATGATACTACCGAAGTGATGTTTTTATATTTATTGCTTATTTTGTATTAACTTTTTAATAAAAAACAACCGAAAGTATTTATTATTCTTTCATACCTGCAGAGAGAAACAAGTTTATTTACAGTTCATCAAATTTCTAGAGGCTTTCGACGGCTAGACAGAGAAAGCACTATACTGAGAGGCATCGGTTGGCGGGGCCGACGGATTTACGCAATTAAAGTACACTCTGCGCATCAAGTATTTCACTATTTTATTCAGACGTAAATGTCAGATGTAAATTTCGCTAAAACATTTCTTTTATTTTCGTTTGTGTTTTTTGCTCATTACAGTTTAATAGAACCTAAGTATGGAGTTTAATAGCAAATTAAGAGGCCGCGTGATTAACAGTCAATCTCGCGAAATAATAGCCAATGTTATAGAGTTTATGAGAAGAGAAGGAAACTTGAATTCACCTTCAATACCATTTAAAAATGTAAATGATCGTGTTGCTGCAGCCACAGGAGTATCTAAAAACACTGTCGTCCGCATTTCTGGAGAGAAAAAAAGAATCGATAACCGTGAGATATCGGAATTTTCATCACCAAGAAAAACCATTAAAAAACCAAAAACAGTTAATGATATAGATGAAGCTGACAAAGGTATTTTAAAAAGAATTATTCTGTTCACGTTAATCTCGGAAAATATTGTTCCAACATTAAAAACAATTCTGACTAAATTTAGAGAAGCTACAGGGTACAAAGGAAACTATGAAAGTTTAAGAAAAATAATAAAGTCGCTAGGATTTCGTTGGCGGAAAACAAAAACAAACAGAAAAATATTAATGGAAAGGTTTGATATTCAAAAGCTACGTTTAGACTATCTGATTCGTTTAAAAAGTTATCGAGCAGAGGGCCGTCCAATTGTCTACTTAGATGAAACATACATTCATGCCTCCCACACACACCAGAAAGCTTGGAGTGATAATTCAAATGAGGGATTAAAGAAACCAATTAATAAAGGTGATAGACTAATTATTGTCCATGCAGGAGGTGAAATGGGCTTTATTCCGAATGCCCGGTTAATTTTCAAATCTGGAACCAAAAGTGGAGACTACCACGATGAAATGAATTTTAATAATTTTTCTAAATGGTTGAAAGAAAAGCTGTTTCCGAACCTCCCTCCAAGAAGCGTCATTATTGTTGATAATGTTCCTTACCATAATGTCCAGGTAAATAAAGCACCAACGTCAACTTCTAAAAAAGCTGACATGCAGGATTGGTTAAGGAATCATAATATTGCTTACGAAGAGGATATGCTCAAAACGCAATTATACAGTTTAGTGCTATTGCATAAGTCACGATTTAAGAGGTATGCAATTGAAGAAACGATAAATGAACATGATTTTAGTTGTTTGCGTTTGCCACCGTATCATCCCGATCTTAATCCGATCGAATTAGTGTGGGCATCATTGAAACAATATGTAGCTAGTAACAACACTACATTTAAGAGGCAAGACGTACAACTGTTGTGTGAAGACTTTTTTGATACGTTTTCTAAAGAGGAGTGGCAATCTCGTTGTAATAATGCTAAAATGTGGGAATCTAAATTTTATGACAGAGAAGTTACTTTGGATAAGGCAACTGATAGATTTATAATTAACTTAAACAGTGACAGTGAGACTGATTTTGAATCTGATATGGAAACTGAAGAAAGTTTTTCGGAAGACCATTAAAATTATATCTGTACCTAAGATCAAAAAAGTATTATCTATTTTTACAACGAAGATGCACAAGAATCAAATTTTATTTTTTTATTATTAGATAGCTATTTTTGTTTCTGAGTTGTGTTCATTTACAGGCTCAATTTTTTTCCGTTTCTCCTTTTTGATTTTATATGGGGTTTCAAGTTGTTTTTGACTTATTTCGACGTAAATCACAACAACACACTTTTTTAATAAAGCAAACAAGTGTTAAGAGGTATATGTACGTGTAAACTACAATTTCAAAAAATTTATATGAAACCCATGAAACCACCAACAAAAATGTAAAGCTAGCTTCCATACTAGAACATGGTGCCATTCGTCGAGATAATTTATCGTTTTGTTTAATAGATCAAGAAATGTAAATATTCCCCTGTTATTTTTTATAAAATTATAAGAGAAATAAATTTTTTTCTAAATAGTATAGTTTATTATTTTGTAGAAAAACAAAATTTCGAAAATTTTAGTAATGTTTCAGAAACAACCGTTATTAATAATAGGTACCATTTTCCTTAATAAGGTAGAAATAAAATATAAACTATTTCCACGATATACAAAGGCCTACAAAAAAATTATAGGTATTTTCCGCTATCCTATAAAATTTATATTTACTGACTCAATTTCAAAAGGTTGAAGGAATTCCAAAACACCTTTTATGGCATAATAATTATTTTCAATTCTACATACTATCTTTAGCTGCTTTTAAAAACGTTCTAAGAAAGTCTAATCAGACCAATTTAATCCCTAAACTATTCCACACTTTTAAAATTTAATTACCTAAAAATATTAAAAACTATTTAAAATAACTTGTTTAGCAGACTGTACAATAGCTATCTTAGTCACACGTAGCGCGTTCTCTGTCTGGGCGTCGAACACCTCCAGAAATTTGATGAACTGTACAGCAATAAATAGGTAGGGGAAGGGGTCGAATATCGATCACTTAAAATATTTTAAGTTTTGGGTCATGCAGGACTTTTTATTAAGAATAACGTTTTTTTCTAAAATGAATATTTTTTTCCATATGGTTCCAACTTAAGTAGACACACTATATAAAATAATTTAATGTTGAGTAAAAGCGTATACGTACCTCGAGGGGAACTCATTCTAGCCTCGAGTCTGTACCTAGACACTCGACTTTAATAGAGTACTATCTCGCTTGGTATGTAATATACTATGAAAGTACCTGTGTCTAGTTTTTTTATTTCGTAAATTACAGAGGTAAATTCAATTTTAAAAATAATAACAATTAAATGTAAGTCTAATTTTGTTTTGCCCAGTTAATCGTCATAATTATTGGTATTGGGCTGATTCGAATTCCCACAAATTTCATGAGGTATATACCCAGCAAACATTTTGGTGTAATCTGACGTCGATACTACCTAAATTATATATAATAAATTTGTTCGCAAAATTAGATTTAACCATAATTAAGTAAAATTTAGAGTAGAACAAATTTAAGTTTGGTACAGCAAATGTTGGTTGCATACTAATCTGCGCATATAGGCGGGCTTTGTTTGTCAGTGGCGGGGACAAAAATAAATGGAAAAATAGAAATACTTTTTTATGCATGTAATTATCAAAATTCGAAAGGTAATTAATTTGCTTTGTACAATAGGTACGTAAGTTGTTATACTTTTTTAATTTAGAATACACATGCAAGTTACTAAATGTACTTAATTGGATCCACTAAACAACCTAACTTACGCAGCGTATATTTTAAATTATTGTGAGTTTGTCATAAAATGTAGTTTTGGAAAACTTGTTAACTTTGTCCTAATTTAGTGTAAATTGTGATTAAAGTAAATAAGTACCGTAAATTAGCGGAATGGTAGATCGTTAAAAGTACAAGCACCTGAATCCTAACTAGTTTATTGTTTTCCTTAATGTCTCAATTGACCCCGTAAATTCCATTTGTTTGTCCTTCATCTTTTGCATAATACCTTGAATAAATAGAAGTAGGTACTTAAAATGTTTGGGAACGAAAATGTATATACTTACCAGCAAGTGTAGGTGATCTTTTATCGATGGCGTAGAAGTCATAGATTACATTTTTAAGTGTTTTCGTTTCGGACTTAAAAAAGAAGAACATGCTATATTTCTATTTAATTCTCGCCCTTCTTTCCTTATTTTCTGAAGGGTGTTTTTACTTACACCTGTCGCTGCTAAAATCCGTTCTCTGAAAATATATTGAAAATCTTATTTTATTTTTACTATTTTAATATTTGTTTAATTGTCCAACAAGTAAATAGCACAACCAAACACGAAATGTTACAATATAAAATACAATATACCACTGCCTGCAGGTATAAAGTATTTTAAAGAAACTCATTTTAAATGAATGATTATTGATTCAGCCTATAGGTACTCTGTGAAATTATGCCAATACAGCAGGAGCATAAACATTTTTTTAATTTCACAATGGTATCGTATCTGAATAGTTCCACATAATTAAAATATTATTATGTAATTAAAAATACTCACCTAAAATTCTTTAAAGGTATCAATACGTCCTTGGTAGCATTGAAGTGGGCCGCTTCTTCTTCCATAAATTTCGAAATATTATTAATGATTTCTTTTGTTTGACTGCGTAATCCCTGTACCATTCTGCCAATTTTTTTCGGAGCCATATCGTCCAAATCACTTTTATTTCTAAATTAACTATGTAGATACTATAACTAAACTTATGCACTAACTATTATTGCTATTCTACTATAACTACTACGGCACTAAATTAAACAAATAAGAATAAGGAAATACACCACTTGAATAACAAAGAGCACTAGATATACCACATAGCGCTGTTAGATGCAAATTGTTTCACCTATTCGCCTCTTTACGCTACGGTACTGACCATCGCTGTGTTAGGGGTTGGCATGGTAACGATAGTCAACAAATCTACGGCGCAACCATCGGATCGACACGTGGGTGTACCAAACTTAAGTTTGTTTTACTCTACGTTGGCTCGACGTGGATTCGACATAAGTGGAGAATAAGACGACGTCGAAATTTGGTTTTATTTACCAAAATAGGTAGAATTACATCTAAATCCACATTGTAGTAGCCCAGTACGTTTGGTTAGTAATACCTCTCTAGGGAAATTTGAAGTCAGTATAACGTTAATTCGACGTTGATTTAACTAAGTTTAGGTAGAAACTACCAAAATATTTGCAGATGACGTATGCCTCCAAGTGTACTAAAAGAAAGTTTATACTTATTTGGTATTTTTATCTATATATAAGTAGAAATATTGTAACAAGTCACCAACACAACTAAAACATATACCTAATTCACATGAAAGATTGAAAATAAATAAATGTCGTTGACAAAAATATATTT